GTATTCCTTTTATACATCGAGTGACACCGAACAAACACCGAACGAAAAACGTTCAAGCTTCTGACTTTGAGCAGCTCCGAGTAACTCAACGGGAAAAAGGAAAAGAGTAAATACAAATACACTCACTCCTGTATTTTTTTTGTTTCGAAATTCTAGCATTAGTTTAGTATTAGTAAGGGACAACAATAAATATTGCATCGCCGCGTGGGGAAACGAATATGCTATTCAGCGAATTCTATTGGTAGAACCAGTGCAGAAAAATGTTTTTTTATCTCTTTCTTATAGAAGTCGGTAGAAAAGACACGAACACACTCAGTGCGCACTAACCCTTCCAATTCGCTACTGTGTGTGTGACTGTTGACGTTGATTGTTGTGAGGGAGTTTGTTGAGGTTATGTTGTGGTTGTAGCATGGCGTGGTCGTGTTTCATTTGGTTTTCCCTCGCTTTTTGCTTTCTCATTTCCCTCCAAGTTTCCCTCATTTCTTTTTTACGCAAGTATCGCGTGGAATTATTAATTCTTGATATATTTTTCGGTTTTAATTTCTCTTCAGAATCATCCTGCTGCATCCAAGTGAAACGCCTCTATATGAATGTGAGTTTTATTCACGTGTTTGTGTTGAGACTAATAACAATCACCAACCGTAAGTATATGTCTTTTGTTTTAATATACCTTATTTTATATTATAATATACATTATTATTATTGCTTGTTCACCTAAGGGCCAACTTATGGACCAACAGGTAAGTGTCTGGTTGTTACCTCACCTAGCAAGTACTACAAGTAATATGTTTAATACGCCTACAGAATATTTATATTGTCTTTTTTTAAATATATTTTTCTCAAAAGTGATATAGTGTTGGTTCATTTTCGTTACAGGTCATATAAATTTGAAAAAACAAGGATTTATAGAAAATATATCAGGTAAATATGACGTCATTTATAAAATAGATATCACGCGAATGGAACGTTATTAATACGCCAATATCACGTTAAATAACTCATAAACTTGACGTCAAATAACACGTAAAAATGACGTACCAACTATGACGTCATTCGTCCCAGACATTAGGAAGTCATTTTCACGTCATAATTAAGTCATTTAGCTCGTCATTTCTCGTCACTTGATGACCAGTATTTAACGTCATTTTCACGTGCTGTTGTTACTTGGGTACTTAATAATTAATCAATTCTATTTTTTCTTGGACTATTTAGGAGCAGTGGCGGTCCATACATGATTTTCTGGGGAGGGTAATGGACGAAAGGAAAATCATGAAGTGTCCCAACGTACCGCCGGAGGCGAATTTTTTTTTGGGGTGCCACGCCCAAATTTGTACCCGAAAGTCGTTCAAAAAACACGCCTCAACTGTATCCCGATGCCATCAAAATAGTTATACAGGGTGTCCGCTTAGTGCGATATCAGACGATATCTTCTTACAGGGTGATGCAAGAAATAAAAATTTAATTACAAAGTTGCTTGATCATCTAAGGTGTGCATTAGTTAAAAACATTTTCAAATATACAGGGTGTCCCAAACTCGAGGGTGTCCATTGGGATATCGGAAACTATTAGAGATACGAGGTTGGTCAAATTATGGCAAAGTTACGCAATTTTTTGAAAAATAAAATGCCGTTTTGAAATTTGAAAAATTCCGAATACCTCCGAAGATATTCGAGAAAATCGAAATTTTGCAAAATCATTTTTATTTTTTCCTGAATCTATTTGAAGAGTAATTTTAAAATAAATGCCACTTCACATTGTTACTTTTTCCCCTTTACAAGATATTTCTACCAAATTTCAGATTCGACGTTTCGTCTTTGGGCAGTCATCATCAACTTTATTTTTCTAAATAGGGACCCTTATTTTTTATTTCAGATTTTAAGAGATTGTGATGTCCCAAAACCTATGACGTACCGTATTTATTCGAAAAATTTATATTATTGGCACTTTCCATAAAAACCTCGATAAAAACTAAATGTGTTAGAGAGAGACAGGAGAAGAAAATTTTGGTAGGAAATTACTAAAAAGTAATTTTTGAAAAAATGCGATAAATCATAGGTTTTGGGACACCAGAAGATCTTAAAATCTGAAAAAAAAATCAAGCGTCGTATTTAAAAAAAAAAAAAATTGATGATGGTCGCCCAAAGACGAAACGTCGAATCTGAAATTTTGTAGCAACATCTTGTAACGGGGAAAAAGTGACAATGATGAAGTGAAATTTATTTTGAAATTGCTCTTCAAATAGACTCAGGATAAAATAAAAATGATTTTGCAAAATTTCGGTTTTTCCCGAATATCTTCGGAGGTATTCGGAATTTTTCAAGTTTCAAAACGGCATTTTATTAGTGATAAAATTGCGCAACTTTGCCATAATTTAACGGACCTCGTATTTCTTATAGTTTCCGATATCTCAATGGTCACCTTCGAATTTGGGACACCCTGTACAGGGTGCTCCGAGGGATGATCCGTAAATGGGGTATGCGAAAGAACTTTGTTATTTTTAAATGAAACACCCTATATTTTAGTACAATAATGAATCGTTGTTGAAAATTCTACATACTTTTTGTTAGGAATCACCTATACCAAAACTTAACCGTTTTTGAAATATTTATTATTTTTTCAAAAAATCGCAGTTTGCATGTGTCAACAAAAACCGAGACAAAAACCAACAAATGGAATACCCTTTATCTCACTGTATAGAAGAAGGTGGGCCAGTCATATTTATACGATGCCTTTAATGCTTTAGGTACTTTGAACTTGTCTTGTTGAAATTTTGTTGTAATTGATAAATGTATTTTTAAAAAAAATCTTTGTCTGGGGGGGGGGGTAATTACCCCCTCTACCCCCCCCCTTAAAACCGCCCTTGTTTAGGAGCACCTAAAAAGCACCTAATTCTGATACAAAAGAAAATTTGGGAAAAATATTTTTTACTATAGGGGACTACTAGCTTTCATAAATCTAACAATCCCTTAGTTTTTTTTTGATTTTCTCAAAAACTAGAGGAGCACCTAATTTTTAATTAGAGGCCCTAATTAGCACCTAAAAAGCACCTAATTATTATATAGATCCCGAAGTTTTTTTCCATTCTGACACACCAACCTGTAAACGTAAAACCAGCAGTCCCCAAATAATCGGTAACTCAGTTAATAATTAATCAATTCTATTTTTTCTTGGACTTTTTAGGAGCACCTAAAAAGCACCTAATTCTGATACAAAAAAAAAATTGAAAAAATATTTTTTACTATAGGGGACTGCTAGCTTTTATAAACCTAGCAGTCCCTTATAGTTGGGGAGCTGGCGTCAAAAACATGCAAGAGTTTTCGCAAGGCGGATATTTTCAAAATAGGTCGTACTTTAGTGCTAGAATGCTAGTGTACAGTCAGCACTCACAGTTCCGGGACAGCTGGCTCTGGGACGCGGGCAAAGTTGTAATTTTAAGAAGCATCTAAACTGTTTTCTCAAAGCTCAAAATTTATAGAAATTTTGCACATTATATCTGTTTGAAGGTTACAGATAACGTATGTAAATCGTCAGACGTCTAGTTCGTTGCAAAAAGGGGGTCAGACGTCCTCAAAGTTTTTATTTTATGGCATTTTCTTCAAATATATTTGTCAAATACCTGCAAAAATATATTTTGACAGGCCACCGAAGAAAATGCCATAAAATAAAAACTTTGAGGACGCCTGACCCCCTTTTTGCAACGAACTAGACGTCTGACGATTTACATACGTTATCTGTGACCTTCAAACAGATAATGTGCAAAATTTCTATAAATTTTGAGCTTTGAGAAAACAGTTTAGATGCTTCTTAAAATTACAACTTTGCCCGCGTCCCATAGCCAGCTGTCCCGGAACTGTGAGTGCTGACTATATTCTAGCACTAAAGTACGACCTATTTTGAAAATATCCGCCTTGCGAAAACTCTTGCATGTTTTTGGCGCCACCTCCTGGACTATTAGTTTTCTTTGATTCTCCTAAAAACTAAAGGAGCACCTAATTTTTAATTAGAGGCCCTAATTAGCACCTAAAAAGCACCTAATTATTATATAGTTTCCGAAGTTTTTCTCCACCTTGGGACTGCTAGGTTTATAGACCTCATTTTCTGCTTTTCTGAGCAACCGTCCTCTATCGAAAATTTCAAAAAAGGAAGCTTCAATGAATGATTTCTGAAACCATTAATTCACTCAAAAAATCTGGGATTTTTCGACACGTTCCCAAAGCATAAATATCTTCAAAAAAAATCTGCATCAAATTACAAAAATAATTTTAAATCAGCTTCTGAGCAAGATATAAAATTCCCTTTCGTTCCATATTGTAAAGGAAGCTTCAATGAATGATTTCTGAAACCCATGAACTCACTCAGAAAATCTGGAATTTTTCGACACGCTCTCATTAAGAATGAATTTCTTTCAAAAAAATCTGCATTAAATTAGAAAAACAATCATAAATTAGCTTCTGAGCGAGATATAAAATTCCCTCTCGTTCCATATTGTGAAGGAAGCTTCATTGAATGATTTCTGAAACCATGAATTCACTCAGAAAATCTAGAATTTTTCGACACGCTCCCAAAGCATCAATTTCTTTAAAAAAAAATCTTCATCAAATTAGAAAAATAATCATAAATCAGCTTCTAGCGAGATATAAAATTCCCTTTCGTTCCATTTTGTAAAGGAAGCTTCAATGAATGACTTCTGATACCATGAATTCAGTCAGAAAATGAAGATCATTTAAGTACAAAGATCACGAGTTCAGATGGATCAGAATGATGGTGTCAGGAGCAGATGATTTATAATCCTAACAACGAGTTCTATTGGTTTGGTACAACCAGTACAGAAAAAAAGTATTTTTATCTCTTTTTCATACAAGCTGGAAGAAAAAGACACAAATACACTCAGTGTATAAGATAAATGATAGTAGACTAAAGAAGAGGAAGTAGGACTAAAAATCATCTATTAGACACAAAAATTGCGCTTTTTTTATATATAATTTTGAATAAATTCTTACCTCTGCATCAGATAAGTTCAAATACCGCACATTGATCAAGTTATAAACAAATTTTCTATGATAGTTACGCGACACGTGCCTGGAATCAAATTTGTAACAGCTAAACTTAAACAAACAAAACGCGATCCATTTTTTCTGAGTTTTAATCGATGTAAGCTCAAATAAGCTAATAAGAATTTCATTTCTGAGTTTCCTTGGTAAGGCATCGATGTAATTCCAGAAAATCTTAATGCATTTTTCACCCAAGATGTCAATGCCATTCAATAGAAACTCGGTAACTTGTTTCGTACACGAAAAACTCAACTTTTCAACAGGTCTTTTCGGCGACATAACTTGGTTTTAACTAGATTTTTATTTTTAGAGTTTTGATGGCAAGCGGCCCAGTTTTATATTGCTTCATACAATTTTGCGCTAGATTTTTAATTATCGTTTAGTGTTTTAAAAATAGATCTCGACGTGTAAATAATCATTATTAGAGGATTTCAATCAAAGACTTTTGATTGATTTTTATAGAGACGCACAAATGAGGCGTTATAAGCATCTTTCGTGACGTCATGCGTCGAATTCAAGGATATAGGATTTTCACGTTATATTCAGGATGACGTCACATTTAGTAATTTTCTGCTGCAAATCCAGCAAAACTAAAAGAACTTCTTAACGCATTCAAAGTAGGGGAATTTCAGATGTTTCTGGTTGGCAACGGCGTGCGATGTTGCATGATTTAAGTGAACATTTTCAAATAAATAATGCGTGTCGATTAATTTCGTTATTTTTAGCTGTCAGTGGTCTTGATAATTCATTATGACATTCTGGTAAATTATAAGAAAACAAATAGGCATTGACAACATTGTCAGTCCTTGTTCTCTGACGTCATCCTAAATATAACGTAAAAAACCTTTTTTTATATTACACACACTATTTACACAGAAAACCGACCTCGCCGTAGTACCAGTGAGTGATGACGTAGACAGCGTGTTATTTCTTAACATTCTAAACAACCTTTTTTTAGATCTTGTTTGCATCTTCCTCTTTGCCTATTATATTAATCAAAATTAAATATTATTTTTTATTATAAATGTAAACTACGCCCGCTGGTACAAAAATGCCAAAGACACCGTTGATGACGTCAGCCACGATTATTTCCTTGATTCTAGAAATCGAGGTTGATGAGTAGTGTGTAATATCCTTGCGTTGAATGCACCTTTACAGCTGACTTTGACAATCAAAACAACAAAAATAAAAACAACAGGACAAAAATGTTCTAAAAACATATTTTTGTCCCAATTAAAGTGTTTTAATTGTGTTTTTAGTGTTTAAAATGGGGTCTTTACTGTCCACAAGACAAAGAAATGGGGTAGAAGAAGTGGATGTGGTAACAAACCACCAATACAAGTATCCTCCTAGATCAGGTAAATAACTTGAGAATAAATTAATGGGATTTCAAGGATATTTTTAAATTAGATGTAGCTACAGCTGTGACAAGTACATTACTTAAAGTACTTGGAGTACAAGTACAAAGTACTCAAGGTTTTGTAGAAGTAGAGTTAGAAGTAATTGAAGTACAAAGTACTTACATATTTTTCTCAAATGTGAGTACTCCAATTACCAAGTAGTTACCTACTTAATAAAAGTACTGGAGTTCTTAACTTGAAGTATTTCAAGTACTTGTACCTACTTCAAATACATTATAATGGGTCTTTTTCATAAAATATAAAACATGACAATTTTTTTCATTTGATATTTTTCGAGATATTTTTCTTTGAACCTTTGTCAAAAACGAGGTCAAAAATTAACCTGATAAGCTAAGCAACCTGTAATGTCTGTGTTACTTTAAATCTTCAAAAATATAAAGTATTTCAAGTCAAGCTTCAAGTACACTTTTGATGTAAGTACTTGCAATATGTTCATTGTACTTGAATATTACTTGGGAGTACTTCTTATTTGATGTACTGGAAATAGGTACTTCTATGTACCTGAAGTATGTACTTTTCAAAGTACATTGTTAAAAATAGTTCAAGTACCAAGTATAAGTAACGTTTATCCACTGTAGGTGCTTCAAGTAAAATACTTATAAGAACTTGGAGTACAATTTCAAGTAGGTATTTGTCTTGAAGTAGGTACTTGACAGCTCTTGATCTAGCAAGGCTTGAGACTAATGAGACTATTAAAGCGCTGAGAACAAACATCCAAGTTTATTTTTTCAGTCCTCTATAACTATTGTCTGTTGGAACTGACAATTTGGTATAATTCTTACTTAGAACTGACAATTAGGTGTAACTCTTACTTAGAACTAACAAATTGGTATAATTGCCACTTGCCACAATTATACCTAAGTGTCAATCACAACTGAAAATTAGGGCTATCCCCCTTTCTTTTTTTTTATTGATGTATCCACCATTACCATTATGAGACAGTCATTCAGATTTTCTATGAACTAAACAAAGATAGGTTGTTTCTAGGTGACAATTATACCTAATTGTCAGTTCCAAGCCAAGTGACGATAATTATACCTTCATGTCAATTCTAAGTGACAATTATACTTTATTTTCTAGGTGAAAAATTATACCTAATTGTCAGCTCCAAGTGACAATTATCAGGATTCGCAAAAACCAAGGTTCCTGAGATTAATAAGGTTGTCTGGTAATGGGTAATTTAATGGCGTCATTTGGGGTGCCTTATAGAAATATGCATTATGTTGAAGTACCCCAGATAACGTCATAAAATTTATCATCAGGCAACCTACCTCTTTCAAACAACCTTGGGCAAAAACCCAGGTTTTTGAAAATTTCTATTGGGTGGGTTTCTGTGCTTTTGTAGGACTTTGGTCGAAGGGTTTTTCACCTAACAAAATTTGTACACCAATTAACAGTACTAACTGAGATATTTCCATGTATTAACAGATATTTCTATGTACCCAATAACAAGTTATTGCCAACTATTTCCATGTATTAACAAAATATTTCCACATATTGCCAGGTATTCCCCTAGTATTATAATATATTACCAAGCATTGCCATGCTAATGACAGACTAAAATCAAATATTTGTTTGCCAGAATTCTAGGTATTGACATATCCACAGGTATTTACATGTTATTAATGGGTATCAACCAATGACATTATCATATACATATTGCCTAGATATCTAAGTATTGACACATATTACCTACATAATTAACAAGTAGGTATTGCATAGTATTGACACTATTGACATAGTATTTACCTAGTATTGAGTCTCCCAGTACCATTTGTGCATGTTGAACTCAAATTAAAGTTAATTAAAATCTCTACAAACCTGGTAGTTAAGTTTTTATTTATTCGCAGCAATTTTTATTGCAGGCAATTATTTCGGTAGTCACTTCATAATGGGCGGAGAACGATTCGATACTCCACAACCTGAATCTTATCTATTTGGAGAGAATTCCGATTTGAATTTCTTGGGTAGCAGACCTACACCTGTAAGTCAATTATCTACATACATATTTTATAACATAGAAATTGTTCCAACACTAAACAACCTCTAATTTTTACAGAAATTCCACTAATTCCTTAATTTGATAAATTATTTTTCAGTTTCCTTATCCTCCACCACAACCAAACGAACCAACAAAAACCCTAAAATGTCTAGTAAACATCAGAAAAGAATCTCTCAGGTTTATAAGAGCCTCAAGCGAATACAACAAACTGCCAACCACTGATAAAACTGATTTATCTGATGATGTTGAATTGGGCACCAACACTTCCTTCAATATTGAATTCATTTTTGACTGCGACGTTAAATGCGCCATCACCATACATTACTTTTGCACTGAAGAAGTTACGGCTAACGGAGTTGTTTACACACCAAAAGACCCGAGTCTTTCTTCAGAAACTTTTCGTTATAAAAAAGGAGCTAATCAACAATTTTGCCAACCTACTCATGTTTTTAATCCTGCCAAATTTTCTGATGAGGAACTTCAATATGATGTTGATAGGGAAATTATTCCTATTGCAATACAGTGTGTTGCAGATGAAGGACCTGAAGGTAAAGACTAGTTTAAATAATGCAGGTTATACCATTTGAAACGAAACAGGCTAAATATCTGATGTCACGTTTATTTTTTTTTAAAAAATCACTCATATTGTTTCAATATTAATTTATAGATGCTAGACAATCTCATACAACAATAGCAATGGTTGAAAAAATCGCAGACGGTATTTACCTGTTGAAAGCTTTAAAGCAAAAACTGTGGGTAGATGGGCTTATTTATTTGTTGCAAGAAATTTATGGGATTGAGAATAAAAATAATGAGAAGGTTTGTGTTAATAAATTCCTTATAATATTTACTATAAAATTGAATAAATTTTACAATAATAGGCATGTGGAGATGAAGAAACAGAAGACAACGGTTCCGAATGCGTAATTTGCATGTGCGACATGCGCGATACACTAATATTACCCTGCCGTCACTTATGCCTGTGCAATTCCTGCGCAGACTCTCTAAGATACCAGGCCAACAATTGTCCAATTTGCAGAGCTCCTTTTCGGGCCTTGCTGCAAATCAGGGCCCTGCAAAAAAGTGCCAATCCTAGTCTAGCACCAATCAGCCAAGCCGATGTAAACTGTGACGTCATTCCTCCAGGATATGAAGCTGTTACTCTTATAGAGGCTCTAAACGGGCCCAGACAATCGCGTCAACCTCCGTCTGCTATTCCAGATTTGGTTGAGTCGCCTGAGAATGAGCACGCGATTCAGGCTGCTCATGTTTTGAATAGGCAATCGTCGCCGTCTTCTAAGAGTGGTAGAAGTCATCCTACAACTCCTGAATATCATCCAAAATGTAAGAATTTTAATTTATTTATGTGTGGTTTGTTTTTTGAAGTGAAACTTTTTCATATCATAGAAAGAGCATTAAATTTTCTATTATCTTTGAAAATTTCAGCTCATTTGCACTTATAGTTCCTGAGATAAAATAGTGTTAAGCAATTTGGGGTTATTTATCAATTTTTCCATTTTTCTGAGTGCCTTTTATCATAGATTTCGGCTTCAAATCTGAGAATAATTTAGTGTATGGAGTTTGGGGTATGTTGATGGACCATCAGGATAAAAAATCTCGACAAAAAAAAATTTGAAATTTCATCGTTTTGGTAAGAAGGTACCTACCTTATGATTTAGATTTTGGAAAACTTTGAAAAGTGATAACTTTTTTTCTATTATAGATAGAAAGCTGAATCTTTCACTGAATGTCATCATTTTCAAAGGACTACAATCCCTGAAAAACTCAGCTTATTTGCACTTATAGTTCCTGAGATAAAATCGTGTTAAGCAATTTGGGGTGATTTATCAATTTTTCCATTTTTCTGAGTGCCTTTTTTCATAGAATTCGGCTTCAAATCTGAGAATAATTTAGTGTATGGAGTTTGGGGTATGTTGATGGACCATCAGGATACAAAATCTCGACAAAAAAAATTTTGAAATTTCATCGTTTTGGTAAGAAGGTACCTATCACCTTATGATTTAGATTTTGGAAAACTTTGAAAGGTCATAACTTTTTTTCTATTATAGATAGAAAGCTGAATCTTTCACTGAATGTCATCATTTTCAAAGGACTACAATCCCTGAAAAATTCAGCTCATTTGCACTTATAGTTCCTGAGATAAAATCGTGTTAAGCAATTTGGGGTGATTTATCAATTTTTCCATTTTTCTGAGCGCCTTTTATCATAGATTTCGGCTTCAAATCTGAGAATAATTTAGTGTATGGAGTTTGGGGTATGTTGATTGACCATCAGGATAAAAAATCTCGACAAAAAAAAATTTGAAATTTCATCGTTTTGGTAAGAAGGTACCTACCTTATGATTTAGATTTTGGAAAACTTTGAAAAGTGATAACTTTTTTTCTATTATAGATAGAAAGCTGAATCTTTCACTGAATGTCATCATTTTCAAAGGACTACAATCCCTGAAAAACTCAGCTTATTTGCACTTATAGTTCCTGAGATAAAATCGTGTTAAGCAATTTGGGGTGATTTATCAATTTTTCCATTTTTCTGAGTGCCTTTTTTCATAGAATTCGGCTTCAAATCTGAGAATAATTTAGTGTATGGAGTTTGGGGTATGTTGATTGACCATCAGGATAAAAAATCTCGACAAAAAAAAATTTGAAATTTCATCGTTTTGGTAAGAAGGTACCTACCTTATGATTTAGATTTTGGAAAACTTTGAAAGGTCATAACTTTTTTTCTATTATAGATAGAAAGCTGAATCTTTCACTGAATGTCATCATTTTCAAAGGACTACAATCCCTGAAAAACTCAGCTTATTTGCACTTATAGTTCCTGAGATAAAATCGTGTTAAGCAATTTGGGGTGATTTATCAATTTTTCCATTTTTCTGAGTGCCTTTTTTCATAGATTTCGGCTTCAAATCTGAGAATAATTTAGTGTATGGAGTTTGGGGTATGTTGATGGACCATCAGGATACAAAATCTCGACAAAAAAAATTTTGAAATTTCATCGTTTTGGTAAGAAGGTACCTATCACCTTATGATTTAGATTTTGGAAAACTTTGAAAGGTCATAACTTTTTTTCTATTATAGATAGAAAGCTGAATCTTTCACTGAATGTCATCATTTTCAAAGGACTACAATCCCTGAAAAATTCAGCTCATTTGCACTTATAGTTCCTGAGATAAAATCGTGTTAAGCAATTTGGGGTGATTTATCAATTTTTCCATTTTTCTGAGCGCCTTTTATCATAGATTTCGGCTTCAAATCTGAGAATAATTTAGTGTATGGAGTTTGGGGTATGTTGATTGACCATCAGGATAAAAAATCTCGACAAAAAAAAATTTGAAATTTCATCGTTTTGGTAAGAAGGTACCTACCTTATGATTTAGATTTTGGAAAACTTTGAAAAGTGATAACTTTTTTTCTATTATAGATAGAAAGCTGAATCTTTCACTGAATGTCATCATTTTCAAAGGACTACAATCCCTGAAAAACTCAGCTTATTTGCACTTATAGTTCCTGAGATAAAATCGTGTTAAGCAATTTGGGGTGATTTATCAATTTTTCCATTTTTCTGAGTGCCTTTTTTCATAGAATTCGGCTTCAAATCTGAGAATAATTTAGTGTATGGAGTTTGGGGTATGTTGATTGACCATCAGGATAAAAAATCTCGACAAAAAAAAATTTGAAATTTCATCGTTTTGGTAAGAAGGTACCTACCTTATGATTTAGATTTTGGAAAACTTTGAAAGGTCATAACTTTTTTTCTATTATAGATAGAAAGCTGAATCTTTCACTGAATGTCATCATTTTCAAAGGACTACAATCCCTGAAAAACTCAGCTTATTTGCACTTATAGTTCCTGAGATAAAATCGTGTTAAGCAATTTGGGGTGATTTATCAATTTTTCCATTTTTCTGAGTGCCTTTTTTCATAGATTTCGGCTTCAAATCTGAGAATAATTTAGTGTATGGAGTTTGGGGTATGTTGATGGACCATCAGGATACAAAATCTCGACAAAAAAAATTTTGAAATTTCATCGTTTTGGTAAGAAGGTACCTATCACCTTATGATTTAGATTTTGGAAAACTTTGAAAGGTCATAACTTTTTTTCTATTATAGATAGAAAGCTGAATCTTTCACTGAATGTCATCATTTTCAAAGGACTACAATCCGTGAAAAATTCAGCTCATTTGCACTTATAGTTCCTGAGATAAAATCGTGTTAAGCAATTTGGGGTGATTTATCAATTTTTCCATTTTTCTGAGTGCCTTTTTTCATAGATTTCGGCTTCAAATCTGAGAATAATTTAGTGTATGGAGTTTGGGGTATGTTGATTGACCATCAGGATAAAAAATCTCGACAAAAAAAAATTTGAAATTTCATCGTTTTGGTAAGAAGGTACCTACCTTATGATTTAGATTTTGGAAAACTTTGAAAAGTCATAACTTTTTTTCTATTATAGATAGAAAGCTGAATCTTTCACTGAATGTCATCATTTTCAAAGGACTACAATCCCTGAAAAATTCAGCTCATTTGCACTTATAGTTCCTGAGATAAAATCGTGTTAAGCAATTTGGGGTGATTTATCAATTTTTCCATTTTTCTGAGTGCCTTTTTTCATAGATTTCGGCTTCAAATCTGAGAATAATTTAGTGTATGGAGTTTGGGGTATGTTGATGGACCATCAGGATACAAAATCTCGACAAAAAAAATTTTGAAATTTCATCGTTTTGGTAAGAAGGTACCTACCTTATGATTTAGATTTTGAAAAACTTTGAAAGGTCATAACTTTTTTTCTATTATAGATAGAAAGCTGAATCTTTCACTGAATGTCATCATTTTCAAAGGACTACAATCCCTGAAAAATTCAGCTCATTTGCACTTATAGTTCCTGAGATAAAATCGTGTTAAGCAATTTGGGGTGATTTATCAATTTTTCCATTTTTCTGAGTGCCTTTTTTCATAGATTTCGGCTTCAAATCTGAGAATAATTTAGTGTATGGAGTTTGGGGTATGTTGATGGACCATCAGGATACAAAATCTCGACAAAAAAAATTTTGAAATTTCATCGTTTTGGTAAGAAGGTACCTACCTTATGATTTAGATTTTGAAAAACTTTGAAAGGTCATAACTTTTTTTCTATTATAGATAGAAAGCTGAATCTTTCACTGAATGTCATCATTTTCAAAGGACTACAATCCCTGAAAAATTCAGCTCATTTGCACTTATAGTTCCTGAGATAAAATCGTGTTAAGCAATTTGGGGTGATTTATCAATTTTTCCATTTTTCTGAGTGCCTTTTTTCATAGATTTCGGCTTCAAATCTGAGAATAATTTAGTGTATGGAGTTTGGGGTATGTTGATGGACCATCAGGATACAAAATCTCGACAAAAAAAATTTTGAAATTTCATCGTTTTGGTAAGAAGGTACCTACCTTATGATTTAGATTTTGAAAAACTTTGAAAGGTCATAACTTTTTTTCTATTATAGATAGAAAGCTGAATCTTTCACTGAATGTCATCATTTTCAAAGGACTACAATCCCTGAAAAATTCAGCTCATTTGCACTTATAGTTCCTGAGATAAAATCGTGTTAAGCAATTTGGGGTGATTTATCAATTTTTCCATTTTTCTGAGTGCCTTTTTTCATAGATTTCGGCTTCAAATCTGAGAATAATTTAGTGTATGGAGTTTGGGGTATGTTGATTGACCATCAGGATACAAAATCTCGACAAAAAAAATTTTGAAATTTCATCGTTTTGGTAAGAAGGTACCTACCTTATGATTTAGATTTTGGAAAACTTTGAAAGGTCATAACTTTTTTTCTATTATAGATAGAAAGTTGAATCTTTCACTGAGTTTTATCCCAATCAAGGAACTACATTACCTGAAAATTTCAGCTCATTTGCACTTATAGTTCCTGAGATAAAATCGTGTTAAGCAATTTGGGGTGATTTATCAATTTTTCCATTTTTCTGAGTGCCTTTTTTCATAGATTTCGGCTTCAAATCTGAGAATAATTTAGTGTATGGAGTTTGGGGTATGTTGATGGACCATCAGGATACAAAATCTCGACAAAAAAAATTTTGAAATTTCATCGTTTTGGTAAGAAGGTACCTACCTTATGATTTAGATTTTGAAAAACTTTGAAAGGTCATAACTTTTTTTCTATTATAGATAGAAAGCTGAATCTTTCACTGAATGTCATCATTTTCAAAGGACTACAATCCCTGAAAAATTCAGCTCATTTGCACTTATAGTTCCTGAGATAAAATCGTGTTAAGCAATTTGGGGTGATTTATCAATTTTTCCATTTTTCTGAGTGCCTTT